TTTGACATGTTAATCAATGTATATATTTTTTTTTGGTAAAAATATAATTTGTTTTTTATGTTCATTTTTACCTTTCTTATCATCAATTGTGGAACCTTGGATTATTTACAAAGTGAAAAACAACACTTTTAATGAGTAATCATAAAAACAACACTTTGCTATCATGTAGTTCATAGAAGTGCCTCACCCTTTTATTAACTCATTGGGGATATCAATTCCAAAAAGTACTCTTTGTACAAAAGGGGATAATCATTGTCCTGATAATATTGTTTGGTTGCTTGTTTATAAAGAATATTTTTTCTACTCATTTTTGCTTGGTTACATATCGAATGGCAAGTTAGATGAGGTAGGTATTTAATTCTGGATGTGGTCTTTAGAAAGAACAAATATAAGGTCAATGGTGGAATGAGCATATTACCAAGTTGAATAGTTTTGCTTGGTAATTAACACAAACAGTGACAAATATCATATTTATTTGTCCCATTATAAATAAAAATAAATCCCACATCTTGTACTAGACTCTATAATTGAAGAGAAGCTTATGGAACTAAAGGTCCAATCAGCAATTTAGATATAAAAGTTCACATTGAAAGTATGGTACATAAATGACGAGTTTGTAGCCATCTATTTGATCACTTGCTTATAATAAGTCCTGCTTAATTAAAAAAATGAAACACAGCAAACAATACTGATAAGTCAGCATATTCTCATTTTTAACTTGTGCATTAAGCCAGTGGCACAAGCCAGATTTATCATTACAACAAACAAACACATGGATGAACATGGTATTGCTGAGTACGGAGTTGCACGCAATGTTTGGTTTGGAGTTCTGTTTGACTCAAACTCTTTGGTGGCATTTTGTTTCAACCAATGTTATTAAAACCGGCCCAGCTCGGTCATTGATCCGGTCAAGGTACTGGGTCACTAGTTCAACCGGTCACTAGTTCAACCGCAGACCCAGTAATTATATGCAATTCTATAATTTATATTAAAAAATTAAAAACATACTAAAATATCTATAAAAAAATATAAATATTTCAAATATTTTATTATAAAAAATAATAAATCATATATTATTATCTAATAAAGGATCAAACAAAAATATAATGATCGTGATATGGAGCTTCAGGTTCAGTAAACGACATCTCTAACTATAAATCAAATCAAAATTTTCTGCATAGAATTATTGAGATAATATTAATATTGTAGGTACATAATTTATGTAAGTCAATAAGCAAAAAAATATTCAAATATGTCCATAATATATTTTTTTTGGAACTTTTTTTTGGAATTTTTTTTTTTTTGGAACAGGGCCGAATCACCGGTTAACCGACCGGGGCACCGATTTTCATTAAAACCAGCTGAGTCACACCGGTTCTAATACATGGTCAATCTGTTGCTTCAACTGGACCGATATATCGGTTCCTGAATTGACCCGGCCAGGTCGGTCCGGTTTTAATAACATTGGTTTCAACTCCTTCAGGAAGGTGACTTTGTTTTAATGATTCTTGAAGATGTAGGATGCTCTCCCTCACCATCTAAAACAGATAATCTTTATCTTGACTCCCGGACTCTTTGTCTGTGTAACATCCTCGTCTCGAGCCGATTCAATTAACATGCATATGATATAAACAGAAACAGCGGAAGACTTAACTTACAAAAATACGAGCTAACTTTTTCTTTTTCTTTTTAAATTCTCATTCGACGTAAACGAAAATCGGACAGAGTTTCCTCTATAAATCGAACAACTGGGGATTTTTCAATCCCACTCAGAATCATTTCCTGATAACAGTTTATACAGCACATCAATCCAGAAGTATCAATCATGCAAATATAATCAGATACCCATCCATGGGCGCATGCATAACTTGGCTCAGTGCCGCTAATCTAACAGCATGCAGTCCAATACATAAACATAACGGAATACTACATCATCATATAACGTGCCTGAATACTCAAATGTACATGCATCAAACTGACAGACATGTACAAAACATATACAGGCCATATACAAAATAAAGGATCAATGTCATGATCCATCAAAGGCGAAAATACAAAATGACATGAATATACTTCCAAAAAGTAGTAGCCTACAACCACTCAAAATCCGAGCCGTCAACTGCCTCAGCCACGTGTCGCGTCCCTGCCTAGTGAGGACTCACCGGGAATCTGGGCACTTGAAAATATGTCCCCAACGAGGGGTGAGATTACAAATCTCAATAAGCTCCAGGTTTATAGAGAATTCTCCATACCCATGGCTCACTCCTGCATGAAATTCAGATACAGAGTATACAAATACAACATATAACAGATATCATAACAGAACAGAGCATATATCCATATCATATCAGAGATGTGTGCCGTCATTCCCAAGGGAGGACCCCAAGCGAAAATCAACGCACGTGTTCCCGAGGGAAGACCCTAAAGCGGAACCAGACATATCAGAGGCGTACACCATCAGTCCCGAGGGAGGACCCCAAAGCAGACATCCGGGTACTATACAATCAATGGCCAGAGATTGTTATAGAAATCATATTACAGAAGTCATATCAGAGCAAAACATATCATGTTATCAAATAACTCTATATGAATGCATCTATACAAAGCATCTAAATAACAGTCATACAGTCCAACCATAGTTCACTAACCATGGTGGAGCACTCAAGCAGGAAAAGACTCCTTAAACATAGAGCTTACCTCTTGAAGCTTTATCAATCTGCTTACTTGTGACACAAGTTACTTTTATATCTTCAAGAGATTTCGATCCTTTTCAGTCCCTAGGCACACCTAGAGAAAGAATCCAAAATACAAATCAACAAAATGATATCATGCCTAGATTTTACATAAGGCATGCATTTTATCGCTTCTTTTCGTTTCTTTACGTTTTTGCCAATACACAAGTCTAGACCTCTTTATAACCATTGGTGTTCTTTAATTTAATCAAACATTCGCTTAAGAATTTTAACATAAATCATGCTATTTACTTTAAAGGACCATGGGCCTAAAATTAGGAAATCAATATATTCTTCCATGATTTCTTTTCAAACCATTTCACTTCATGACTTATCATTTTCATACTTTGAAATACACATATTTTATTAAAATAAAATATGACAACATCTTTCCCTAAACACCCTATATGTCGAATCCTTTAAGGGAATTTCCAAGGATTCTTCTCTTTTACAGTACATTTTCCTCACTTAATTTAACAACTACACGTACATAAATATATATATATATATATATATATATATATATATATATATATATACCAAGTTACAATTTAATTTTTGGGAATCTCAAGCCCTTTAAATCCTTCAAGGCCGAAACATCAAGGTATGTTTCAAAGGATTTTCTTTCAAATTTAACATTCTTACTAACTCATCAAATTTCCTCTTATTCAAGCACATTAAACCTTCCCAATACATACAATAAATCTTTGCACATCACCCCTAATTACCCTATCAAGGCCGAAATCTAGGGTATGTCACCATGAGATTTTTTTTCCAATTTTTATACATGTTCATATGCTTATTCCACATTCCTATATCCAACACATCATCAATCCATCATCAATTCAAATTTTAAACTAATTTATTTCTCACTCAAAACATGCTCATAAATTTCAAGACATAAATTACAAAAATAAAAGCATAGGATTAGAGGTTTCTCACTTATAGTTGCTATTCCAAGCTCCAAAGAACAAACCCCAAGCTTTGCTCACTCAAAAACTCACTTTTCTTCCTCCAATGAATAGTAACTCGAAAATGGGGGGAGGAAGAACTCTTCACACACTCATCTATAGCTCAAATTGATGGGTGGAATGGCTTCATTGGGTGGTTTACAAGCAATTTCATGTGGTGGGTCTTTGGATTTGGTGGCATATTCAAGAAGAAATCAACAAAAGAAATCAAGCCTTAAACCCCCCCCTTCCATGATGAACTCCACGGTTTGCAAGAGAGAGAAAAGAGTTTTAGTTGTGTGAATAATGATTCACTTGAATGACAAAGCTTTATAGCCACATGTGACTTTTTAACAGATGTTTTTCTTTCGCGTATTTTCACTTAAACTGACCCGGAACTAACTCAACGCTACAAACATATTTTTATTTTTCTAAAATCATTTACATTAATTTTTATTTCCTAAGGAACAATATTCATAATTCACAGTATGGTTTCTGCACCGTTTTTGACGAAATGCACTGTGAACCACTAACTGTACTTTATTTATTTTTGAAACTTAACACTTATAAACTTATCATTTTCTTGGGCCTATATTGACTTGCTTGGCATATATTGGACTTTCTTATTCTTATTTCATCAATTATTTGTTTCTGGACTCTACCGGTTGCTTAAACAGCAGTACAAAATACCCGGTAGAAACACTATTCACGAGATTTTCACGGAAAGTGCCAGACTATACAATTTTTCGTTCTGAACTCATATTTGACGTCAGAATTGTCAAATTATGTCTCTAAAATCATTTTTAATCATTTAAGCTCTACCGGTTAATTCACAAAATTGCAAATTCTCCGGCAGAACGCACTGTTCATAACATAGTCATGATTACAGTCAAAATACTCGAAATCGCTCACTGAATCTAATTATGGCATTTAAATCCTTAAATTAAATCTCTAATTAAGATTTACCATTTAGGGTCATTATAGTCTGCATTCAACACAAGGGTACTGCTCACTTTAGCTGGGGCAGGGCTGTTACTTGAATTTTCATCTGATTTGAATATACCACACAAATGTTTAATCCTCCAGAATTAATCTTGTTATGGATATGAATATCATATCCCAACTACTCACCTAAGAATTTACTAAGAGGTAGATTCATGAATATCTCAACAACACTAAACAGTCAAAGGGCACAAGATAAGGATCACATCCCAACAAAAAGGGAGCTAAACCCTAATGCAATCTGGGGACCTTAAAAGGCTCAAGCCTAGGAAGGTAATCCTTATAAATAAGAGCTTAAGAACCCCAGGTACACACT